CGTCACCGCGTTCTTCACGATCGCGTATGCCAGGGGCTGAGTCCGTCTTCTTGTACATTGCAGACACTGTTTTGGCAAGTGCCATGGGTGCAGTGATGCTTGCTGACAAAACTTCGTTTCGAGGTCTACGTCACGGAGATTTTTCCATCTGCCATGGGCTTACTGCTGCATTCAAGCCGGTATCTGGATTTGCCAGGAAATGAGGGATGTCATGCTAGCTTGACACCGGGTTGCTGTTGTCTTGCACCTCAATTACATCAGCAGGTGCTACTTAGAGGTTCATGGGTGGTTATAAGTCGGGTAGCTATAAGTATAACCCACAGTAGGGGGCTTATAAACCTGCTTATGACTACCCATGCACCTCCAAGTAGAGCAGGACACTTCGCATTTCCTGGCTTTCGCTTCTTTCGGCGCCTTTGAGTCAAACCCGGGAAAGATTTCGTGGAGGGTTTCAGGCCAACTTACGTCCCAGATCCGATCATGGCGGCACATATTCCTTTGATCGCGCTTCTGCTTTTGGTCTTCAGGCATATCGCTGCACTGCTGCATCGACGTGTATGGCTGGAGGCCAGCCATTTGTTTTGGGCTGGGATTTCGGGCTGGAAAATATGAGAGTTTCCGCTGCTGGTTCTGTTTCTCGAAACGAGGCTCTGTCCCCCAGGTAGGAAGCTGTGAAGCTGGTGCAGGAAGTTGCAGCAACGCTATAATGATTCGCTAAACCACTAAAGCCCGAACCCCGGACTGCTTAAGCCCCATACTCAAGCCGACAAGCCTTCATCATGCCATAACTCTAAGCCAGTAAACTTCCTCAAACTTTGAACCATAAGTTCCTGGAGCCTCAAGCCCCTAGGTAGCCTACTAGTGCACGGTACCGCGTGTTCTCGGGGAGCCTGTCCTTGGCGGAATGCGAGCGAGGTCGCATCGGATCGGCGTGTGCCTGAGGACAGTCATGTCCATGCGCTGGATGATGATCATGATTCCGGTGTTTCAAAAGGTCGTTTCACTCGTCTGGCTATTCATTTCAGGAGTGTCTGCTGAGACTCTTCTGGATTGGTCTTCTCCGATGCACAATTTTCTGAGCCTGCAGCTGGCAGAACTTACGCTAAACCCTCAACCCGAACCTCAAACCATGAACCCTGAACCCGGAACCTTTGCTTATTCGGAACCAACCAATCCGAGCTGAACAGCGATACGTTCATATGGATTCCCCGCCGTCCCCGACCCCAAACCCGCAAAAGCTTAAGCCCTGAAGGCTCAACTTAGGAAACTCTGAGACCCTACCCATGGGCTCCATAGTAGTTCCTCTTTGGGGTTCATATATATAGAATCCTTTAAGGTAATCCCCAAAAGGAACCACTATGGAGCCCATGGGTAGAGCCAAGTGTGTTCTTGAGGTCTTGGCACCGCTTGCGTTCGAGCTCTTGACCTCCGGTGGTGAGTCGACGCCTCAGCCCATACTATAAACGGGCCTTAATAATTACTTATACTATTTTGGGGGTTCCTCATTATGAATTATAGTATAAAGGGCCCCCAAAACCCTATTTTAATTATTAAGGCCCCTACATTGCGAGCTTCATGATCTTTGTCTTGATGAGTGTAAACGTCATCACCCTTCTTGTGATACCGCTCCTGCCGTACTACTGTTGCTACTACTAGGTGCTACTACCGCTGCAACTGCGACTGCTACTGTTCCTCCTGCTGCTGCTGTTGCTACTACTCCGACCACTACTACAACTACTTCGACCTACTGCTGCTGCTGCTGCTGCTACTACTACTACTACTTCTACTACTACTACTACTACTACTACTGCTACTGAGACGACGACTACTGCTACCTCTTCTGCTAGTAGCCTTGTGCCTAATGTTTCGGGTAGTGGTGGTTTGCAAGCATGCTTATGATTGTTCTGCTTGTTCGGTATCTTATTCTTGTGATTGCTCATGATTGTTCGACTGGTTCTTGTGAGTAGTCTAGTGTTCTTGTTCCGACATGTCCTGTGCCTCGCAGGTCCCACATCCCTTTCTGGCTTCTCTGCTCGCTGCTCTGCGTGATCGCCGTGTGGGTGATCCAGCCTCTTGACTTGTACAAGACGTCGCCTCTTCTGTACATCTCATCTCAGTGACGTGTCTTGGTGCAGCCTTGAGAGATGCAGCCAGCGGGGCAGGAATTCACCCTCAGTACCTGCGAGTATGACACCCTACTCCTAGACCCTAAATCCTAATCCTACACCCGAAACATCCTAAACAGTCATCATCCTACGCCCAAAACCCGAAGCCCATCACACCCAAAGGCCCTGAAGCCCCAAGCAAACTAAGTCGCTGCTTGACCTTCGAGTTGAAGGGCGAGCCACTGGAGGTCTCAACATGTCGGGATCAAGCATGTCGCGTACCACTGCAGCCTTAATAACTAGCAATAATATTCAACTACTTACGTTTCCTGAGTATTGCGATACTATGTAGAAGCCTCAATAATGACTGGCAATAGTATGTATTCCTTAGGGCTCCTTTGATTAGAATATTCAGGCCCTTACATTATGTTCTGGACGATGGCTTCTGACGGGATCCTTACTACTGCAAGCCGAGAAGCCTGAGTCAGAACACCCCCCCATGCAGCCCGCATCCGTCACCGGTTCATTTAGGTTTAGGGTTTTTCGGTTTCGTGTTTGGGGGCCCCAGTTTAGGGTCTGGGGTTGCGACACATCTGGTCAGATGCATGCGTAACCACGTGAAATTCAATCAGCCGGGTTTCGTGCAACGACTTGCTGTTCGGTAGATGTGCCGCCAATGTGTGGTTCGTGTTTCAGGTTTTTGCGGTAAGGATTTCTGGATTGATGAGGGATGCAAGTTCTTAACCCCTCAAGTGCTCTCTGCATCCTAATCATTGCAGGATGTGGTGCTCAAGGGAGGCGGCAACCTCAAGCTGAAAAGGCCCTGCACCCAGCATGCATGCATGCATGTCGGTATGTATGTATGTATGTATGTATGTCTGTGTGCAAATATGTCTGCAAGTAATGTAACGTAAAAAGCAGAGTCAGTAATATCTAGACTAGAGCCGGAATCTCTGGCCAATCGATGTGGGTTAGACCTAGAGAACCTGATCGGAAGCATTACATCCATAGGTCATCCGGCACATAAGGTGTTATCCGTGTTGAAGGGCAAGTGTGGTAGCGATACTGTATCCGGGGCTTGCAGGACAGGCAACAGAGCAGCACGCTGGTAACTTATCTTGAGTGAGCGTGTTATGCGTCCTACGAGAGCAACTGTAGCAATAGTTTGATAGATGATCGATGCTGTATAGGGCAGGCTCACAGTCAACGCGGCAATAGGTTTTCCTGAGTTCAAGACATCACAGATAGTTGGACACCTGATTAAACTCTCGAGGCTTAATGAGTGTTTACGTAGATCATCTAGCCAGAGATTCCGGTCCAGATTTGCGGGTTATCCCTGAGCCTTCGGCCTCGGTGCTGAGGCCATCACTGCTGACCCCGCCCGAGAACAAAGCGGACAAGATGCGCACAGGGTGGGCCTGGCCAATCCGAGTTGCTCGTGTTCTGATGTCAGTCTTCCTCTGGAGTCAGTCTGACAAGGGCTGGGGTCACTGCTGCTGCATTCGCCAGTTGGGCATGTCGTTCATCACCGCATCCGCGCAGAAAGCTCAAATCTCGCAACACGTGAACGCACCCTGAACCATAGAATGTTGGCCACTGAACTCTGCCATTTTCGCGCTTTGGTCTCAGGCACCGTGGCCGCCACACTGCTTCTGCACAGGAGCGTGGATTCAAATCTTGGAGGTAATTGGAGCCTTATATCCGCAAAGGACGAGTGTGCTGGGTTTGACGATGTTTTGCTTGATTTTCGCCTCTTCCACCTCCTGCACCTCCTGCTCCCACTCCTACTCAACTGCTGCTGCTACTACTACCGCGACGACGACGATGTCAACGACGACTACTAACTACTAATACTACTACTGCGACGACAATGACTACCAGCCATTACCACCATCACCACCATAGCACCAACACGAGCATCGGCGCCACCAGCTGGCGCCACACGTTGTTCCGACGACTGCTGGTACAAATTCTTCTGTTGTTGTGATGATTACGTATAGTAGCTAAGAGTTTGCCAGTCCTACCACCTATCATACGAAAGACGAGTGTCGCGAGCCTTGTCTCAAGATCTTCGTGTACCTGCAGGAGATCCATTGGAAAAAAGAGGACGCAATTCAAAGCGCCTGAGATGCTCTAATCTGGAAGCTGGTGACAACTCCAGCCTTCGACAGCGACCAAGCTAGTCTTTCAGAACTAGGAGCCGCCGCTGCATGCGAATTCCGTGCGCGAAAGGCTGCTGTCAACTGATCCGGCTTTGGGCATAGCAGCTGGATCCCCCAAAACTCGAAGTTAACCTGAAATGGCAGACCCGGTAAAGGCAGAAAGCTCTGGATTCTGCTGCTTTGCTCAACGCCCTTCTGCTCAAAAAGCCCGTGGCAAAAGGAGTGCCCCTTCGGTTAGTCTAAACACAACCTGGAACACACTCGCACTGTTGTGTGGGCACACTCCAAACGTGCCAGAGATTATTTGATTTAGCACACCGGTAGCTTAAGGTGTAGTCACAACTCCCCGACGCTTAAAACCATATCAGGAGACATTAGTTATTTCAGCAGCCAATACTTGTCTCAAACAGAAACCATCCGCACTATCCTTCTGGATCAGCCTTATCCCAGTGATCCCTTGGAGCCCAAGCCCTAAAGCCTGAACTGCAAAGCCCGGCTTCTAACTCAGAGCGAGCAAGGTCAGATCACGAGTGGACAGGGCTCAGACACAGCATCTGTTGAAGTGGAGGCATCTCAAAAAGAGTTCGCGGCTCCTGCTCCTTGCTGATGACAGGTTCTTCCTTCCGAATCTCTGCGCGCCTACGTGCGACAGCAGATACTTGCCGAACGAAAGCCACAGTCCGAGCTCTGGGGTGTCTGGATTGTGACCTGCTTCGAGGTATGGTCTACCTTGATGTTTGTTCAGATATCTGCGCTGACAAGCTTCGTTTGGGTTGCTGCTCCTATTATTGCTCTGCAGTGCTTCATCGCTGCTGTTCACCGACACTGCCAGACACTGAAGGAGACAGGAAGGCTCACACTGGGTACTGCATGCCGAGCATCAAAGGTGGCTTCTTTGTTCATCTTCTTCCCGTGGAAATACTCACACTTTGGGCTGTATCGCAGACAGTCATCAGCATCTTGCTTCTACTCGTTCTCATACATACTGCGTGTTGCCTGTATCGTGGTGCTGATACAGGCATTTGCATCCACGCCTGAGGTTGTCTCAAGCCCTGCCGATGACTCAAAGTTGAACTGCACAGGGCTCCTGAAGAACCTGACGCGCAAAAAAAAGCCTAAAGGTCATACTGTGCTTGACGATGGCAAGCAGAGACTGACCTACCTGGTCTCGTGTCAGCTGCCTGTTGTCGTGGCTACGGCTAGTCTGTTCCAATCCCTGCCTGTCGGAGCATTTCTCCTGTCTGTGGCAGGCAAGTTTATCACTGAAGCCAAGACGATGTTTCGGCACTGTGATTGGTGCTCTGCGAAAACAGACCGCTCTCTGCGAGCAGAAATCAGCCGTAAGGCACGGGACATCAGAGACAGTATGGCAGCCGGCACACTGGAACCGTCTTGGAAGGATCGGAAGCTTCTTGACCTGGAGCTGGTGTTGCTTCTGCTAGACCTTGTTTCTGATCTCAACTGCATAACCCAGTTTGCGCTGGCTTCTCGCTGGGGTTGGGCCGCTGCGCAGTCTGCAGTTTTCCTTTTGAGTCTGGCCTTTGAGCTCCATGCAGCTTCAGCAAGCTCCTTGGTAGCAGCCGTGCTGGAGAGTCGCAAATGCGGATATCCAACGGATGAGTACTTGATCTTTGTCCGGACCGAAAAGACTATAGAGGCTCCATTTTCTTTGCTGCTGCAATACTATGCGACATTCTATGTTCTTGACCCACTGCTATTTCTGAGCGCATGCGTCTCGATGGTCCTGAGCAGTTTCAGTGTGGCGAAGGGCGCCTACGAGCAGCTCCACCTAGCTCTCGATGAAGCAGTGGACCAGGCTGAGGAGCTGGTTGACCGGCAAAATCTGGCGCGGTCGCAGGGTGCTATGTGTGATAAGCCTCCAATCCAGGTGGAGCCGGTCGGCCGTCATTATTTGGACCGAGAATGAACTGTCGTGGAGATCGTTTCGACGCTTCTTTGTCGTTTGAGCTTCTCAAGAAAGACAAGCTTCAACACCCCTGTCCCGCAACTTCATCGGGCAGTATGACAGTGCACGTCTTTTTGCCTTCACATTCACAGTATGCGGCAAGGCTCTACCCGAGCAGTGTTGCTCGCTGCAAGGATGATTCTGGGTGTCATTTATGGGATCTTATGGGTACATGGAGCGTGATGGAGGTGTTGGTGAAGAAACCGACAGTGCTGTCGCCTCTGCTGTACGTATCGCACCTACTTTTTCTAAACTTGGATTGTTTGCTGAATATGGTTTGCGGCCGTATATTCTTGTTCGACTAAATTTCCACAAGTGGTGATATAGCTGAAGCACTTGCCACCAGAGGTGGCATTCTGCGACCACAAGCCCGGTGGAAAGGAGTCTTACACAAAGAACGCAGGGGAGAGAGGGGTCCGACAGGAAAGCAGATAGAAACACAAGCCTCGGCTGCGACCTCTAACTTACCATTAAGCATGGAAGCCGTAGCAATGATGATAGCAACATCAGTAGTCACGTTGGTGCGTGGCGTCATATCAGTCCACCTTTACGATGTACAAGAGGATGTGCAGATGCCTATGGGTAGTTGTCAAAATCATGGACCCTTTGTGGGTCCTTAGTCATAATACGGCACCTAGTACCTAGTATTTAGGGTCCCCAAAACAGGGGCCATAATTTTGACAACCATCCATATCTCTCGCCTCAGCTCGCTGCTGCTGCCTCCTACATTTCCGCGACTCCTACAGGGCAAAGACTCCACAGGTCGGACCGAGACAATATAGGGGCCTTCATGAGGAGAATGGGGTTCCCTTAAAGGGCTCTATAAGGGCTACCATAAGGACTCAATATAGGGGCTTTAATGACAAGACCAGGGTTTGGGGCCCATGATATCACGAAACGGTGGAGCTCCTGCTTAACTCGTTCACTGCATCTCGCGCAGGGATTCGGCTCCTGTTAGCATTAGCCATTTGCCGATTCCCGGCTGCATCTCAAGACACGTGCTGTTCTGTGGGTCTCAGCTACAGTCCCGACTAAATTCAAAGAGCAGCAGTGGCAGATGCATGCACTGGTAGATGCGGAGAAATAGGAGCTTCACTATTTGAGCAAAGCTTGCTCTGCAACGACCACACAGTGGATTCAAGACACAAACCGGCGTCTCCGGCCAGTGTAGGCGTGGACAGTTTCCGTCCACAGGGTCCCCGGTCAGGGTACACGTGGCTGCTGGAAGGCGCTCTGCTTAAAACGAACATGCTGTCGCTCAGGGTTCATCCTTCATCCCTCATTGCGGGAAGAACTTGGCGACAGACTTGCATCGCTTGCTGCGAGAGTACGCTTATCATCATCATCATCGTCATCATCGTCATCATCATCGTCGCTCTTGTCTCTGTGGAAGCTCGGAGACTCGTGCAGCCTCGTCGAATGCACAGACTCAGAGCGTGGCAGGGAATGGCGAACAACAGGCACACCATCCTGCTGGTACAGCCCGATCCTCGGAATCGTCGTGAGCGCTCTGGGCAACCCTACAGTAAAGCCTCTCCGCCTAGCCGCGTAAACCCCGCAGAAGTCGGGTATCCTCGGTTGCTTTCGGAGTGCTCGAATAGATCTGTCACAGCTAGGGGGGTTGAGACGTAAAACGTAAAGTAAAGCTACTCCACATCAGTGCAGGACTGTTTTTCTAGCATGTAGATCGTCATGCACGCACGGCTTGCTGTCAGAAGGTTTATTCTCATGAAATTCCATCTGTTGCTGGTAGCCCCTGAGGTTCGATGATTCGAAGGATGCGAGAACATACATCGACTATCCTGGGATTCGAGAGGCTGCGACACAGTCATCTGCAATCCGGCTTTTCAGCAAGAGATTGAAACCATAGCCAGGCGGGCGTCAGCGATTACCATCAGACTATTCCTTGCCTCTCTGCAACAAAGCCAGCTAGTCCTGGCAGCAACACTGGCCAAAGAGCAGCAGCAATAATGTCGGTTGCACTCTGAATAATCAGAACAACACCGCCGCCACACCCGCGGCCACCGCCACGATCGCCAACAGCAGCAACAGCAGTAGCAACAGCAACCCCGCGGCTGCTGCTACTATTACTGATGATGATGATGATGACACTGTGTCTCCTACTCCTACAGTACGGTGGTCCTGTCACTTAACGGCGCTCCGCCTCCGCTCCTGCTACCACTACTAAGGCTACGACTACCACTGCTACTGTTACTACTACTGCCAATCTGCATCTGCTGCTGCTGCTGCTGCTGCTGCTGCTGCTGACGTTTCACGAACCCTTGGTTGCTGCCTGCTAGCCTGCGACCAAGACCAACTACCCGCTGCCAGTACCTAGGTCAACAATAAAGTGATGTACCAGTCAGGTGATTATTCGGAGCAACAGTCGTGATAACTGCCATCATCAGAAATGTCACATTGCTGGTAAACTCAGTCATCGTCATCATCGTGGCAACATATGAGACGCCCATCTGCGTAAAAAACGGGCACCCTTGCAGCAATGAGCGGAACTGCTCCTAAAACGTACGCCCTAAACTGGGGCTTTGATGATGGAATGATGGAGGCCATGGACGGCGTCTGCCAACTCTACGAGCAAAGCCTCAAGGCAACGCCCCGGGCCGTAGAGTCAGAGACTCTCTCCCCATCCATAGTTCTGTCTGAAAAGTAGAGGTAGCGTATGCGAAGAGTCTTGGGTAGGGTTCCTTACATAATTAGTCTCTGAAACTAGCTACCACAGTGCCGGAGTAGTGCTACGACATTCACACTGCTAGGAAGGGTCCGAAGCCCCGGAGCAAGGCGATGAACCCTCAGCTCAGAAGCACCACATATGACGTGAAAGATCTTTACAGCGGGAGCCTCAACAAGCTCTTCGCCGTGACTCATTTCCGATGGTTCACTGGAATTTTTCCGAACTTGAAATTAATCAAGGTTCTTGCTGTGAGAATCCACTTGTAGGTGTTGCATCGAGTTTAGAAGGCTTCAGGACTGGCTTGCGTGATCCTCCGCTGTCTTTCCATCAGTTAGCACTTCGAATCTATCTTCAAACACTTATAGTGTTGTTCTTGTTGCGTGACTGCTGAGCAGTTCCTTTCACTCAAAGCCCAAAGCCTCTGCAACGTCTTGAACCCCAGAGCTCTGCAGCATAAACTCGGTGGCTATAGCCCCTCTCAGTCTGAGGCTTTATCGACACAGTGCAGGATCTCAGCTGCCTCGTGTTCAATCCCCGAGCGAACCTCGCTTGAAGCCGTGGGTGACGGTTTAAAGTTTAGGGTTTAGGAATCAAGACTTTGTTGTTTTTCACATCGGGGATTCTGCATTGTCGGCTTCGTTCAGTTAACTCCAGATGACTTTGTTGTGTGTAGGATTCAGGGTGAGGCTTCGACGTTTCGGGATTGTTGTGCATGTTGGGTTCGGGCTTCAAAGGAGCACATGGTATAGCCGTATAGCGTACCTAATCAACAAGAGCTGAGAGAGATCTGGCGGAAAGTCCTGTGACCTGTGCTGTCCACGACCCCGAATCCCTGGACTCGTTGACCCTACATCCTAACCCTGAACCCTCACGAACCCTAAATCCCTCGATGCGGGTCTTGATCGTTGCTTACCGTGCAGATGCCAAGGGGCTCGTACGTGCCGCACAACAAGGATTGGATTAAGGCACCAGGGCTTTTCTTCCGCGTTTCTTGAATTTTGGAGTTTGGACCGTCAAAGGCTGAACCATGGCTGGAGAAAGCTTGGCATTGCAAGAGGCAGCCCAGAGCACAGGGATACACGCTTCTAAAGCGTCAAAGTTCCTCAAACAGGGTTCAGCAAAACCTTTTGCCATCTATTTTGCACAGATGTCCGTCCAAGCGTCGCACCTCAGCGATGCTGCGTGCGCTGCAATGATTTCTCGGCGCATGTCGCCGCACCGAACAAGTTGCATGCTGGTTTCTTCTTAGCACACCCACAACAGACTGCTGCCCTGGCAGCAGACAAATTGCATGGGAGGTGGAGGTCTTCAACCACCTGAAGTCGCAGGTGCAGCAATGAGCCAGTACGGGCGCATGGCCTTGTGAGGGGTTCACTTGCTGTCTTGCAACCGCGATCGCTCAAGCCGGCGGCTGTCAAAATCTGCTTAGCTTTGCCATTCGTATTTAGTGTTGTTAGTTTCGGTCCGGTAGTCTTGTCGTAGTGGGAACAATCGTCGGTTCACAGCAATATCATAGTCGTAGTCGTCGTGGTGGTGGTGGCAGTGGCCGTGCTTGTGCTTCTGCTAGTGCCTGTACTGGCAGCAGAAGTAGAAGTAGTAGTAGTAGTAGTAGTCGTCGTAGCAGCAGGAGTAGTCGTAGTAGTAGTAGTAGTAGTAGTAGTAGTAGTAGCAGCAGCAGAAGGAGTAGTGCAGTGTTAGTGGTAGTGGTAGTGGAGGTGGTGGTAGTAGTGGTACTAGTAGGAGCAGGAGCAGGAGCAGGAGCAGCAGCAGGAACAGTAGCAGGAGCAGGAGCAGTAGCGGCAGCGGTAGCGGTAGCAGTAGCAGTAGCAGCAGCAGCAACAGCAGCAGTAGCAGTCGTGGTGGTGGTGGTGGTGGTGGTGGTGGTGGTGGCAGTGGCAGTGGTAGTGGTAGTGGTAGTAGTAGTAGTAGTAGTAGCAGCAGCAGCAGCAGCAGTAGCAGTTGCAGTAGCAGTAGTAGCAGCAGCAGCAGTAGTAGTCGTCGTCGTAGTGGTAGTGAGTGGAAGTGGTGGTAGAGGTAGTTGCCGTCGTCGTCATCCTCGTCGTAGTCGTAGTGCTAGTAACAACAGTCACCGGTCGTGGCCGTGGAGATGGCCGCATACAGTGATCGCAAGAATTTCTACGAGATGCTAGTACAGTTCCTGGCGTCGCAATGCCAGTTGCTGTAACATTTTGAAGTCTCGTGCCTAATCTTGCGCAGTTGCACACCTTCGTGGTTCACAGGGCATTTTGAAGCCGCATGGGCAATACACCGA